GCTGGGTCATCAGGGGGCGGGGCCGCTGGGTCATCAGGGGGCGGGGCCGCTGGGTCATCTGGGGGCGGGGCCGCTGGGTCATCAGGGGCGGGCATGTCCTCCTAACTGTCTCTGCTCTACAGACAGGTGAGGTCAGAGGTCAGCTCTATCCTAGAAAGATAAAGGTTCAGTCTGTCAGAAAACGCAGCTGGTTTTGAGGAAATCCTGGAGAATCCAAACGGACAAACCAATGTTACGATCTGAGTTCAGTCTCCAGTTCAAATCTGAATCTCTGAGGCTGTTTTCTGTCTGATCTGCCTCTGAAACTCAGTCTGAACTACAGAACCAGGTTTTGTCCTGTGGAGGAAATCAGATCTGATCTAAGAGCCGCGGATCCGATCATTTTTCCACAGACTCAGAGTTTTCCTGATTAATCCAGAACATTCCCAACTGAACATTGAACGTTTGCAGATGCAAAGAGAAGCAGCAGGAAAACTGAACAGACATGGAGGAGACAGGATGGCATCCTGAGAGTTTATCCTGATAGGGTCAGGGGTCAAAGGTCAGGGGTTAAACTCACCTCTGCTCCTCCATCAGTGCCTCCAACTTGTTGGATTCATTTTGAGCTGCAGCTGCAGCAACATCTGGAACAAAAGAAGAAGAAAGTCAGAGCAGCTCAAAGATCAGCCAATCAGATGAGAGGACAGAAGTTGCTTGGATCTGATTGGTTCATATCCAGCTTACTGCAATTCAGCCTGAAACCTTTTCCAGACAAATGCAACTCAGCTGAGGAACGAGACTGAGGGAGACGAGTTCAGGAAGACCTGGACCAGAAAGATGAAGACGTCCAGAGACATGTCTTCATCTGGAAGAGATGAAGACATGTCCTCCTCTCTGTCCTCCTGTCTGTCCTTGCAGCTCATTCTGCTGCTCCTCAGCGTCTGCAGCTTCTAGATGAGCCCTGCAGCAGATGTTTGCTGCAGTTAGAGCTGCAGCGCGTCGTTCAGGCGGTGCAGCATCACCTCTCAGACTGAACGTCCTCTCAGCGTCCAAACGTCCTGAATGTGGAACCTGATCTGAGCTGCCGTCGTGAACAAACATCAACATTAACTCCGCCCACAATGATCATATGGAGCCACGTTTTCCTCTTTTTAAAGACTCAAAGTCTAAACATGTTTTCTGTATCAACAGTGAAGGTGTGGAATCGGTGGAAATAATGACAGCATGCATTTTAAGATCATTTAGATGTCAAGTTATCTCAATATTATTTATTTCAACAATGCACCCATCATTAGTGTAATGTGATGCTAATTAGATCCATGAAGCAGATTATTTTATTAATGCTGCTATTCCTCAAACTGAGTGAAAATAAATGGTTTTGAATGAACATGACAGCTAAATACTGAAAAACTCCTTTTATTCAATATGAAATCAGTTAAAATTAAATCACATATTTTTTTGAACACTAAAAGATCTCTTTACTTTTCTAGAAGCCTCTTGCTCCAGTTTTACAATAAAATATTTTATTAGGATGTGTACCTACCTACTTATGTAAATAATTATTTATTCATCAATATTTATAGATTATTCGTTGTAATCTGAAGTAATCCTATAATTCAAAGTTATCAAAATATAGGCATAGAATTTACCATTTCTACAGTTGTACCTAAATTATACATATTCCTTCCTAATACCGTTTCCTTAGTTTCCTGATGTGGCTAAAAAGCCTCAAATTACCCAAATTAGAAATAACTTGTAAATTTTGGTCACATGTTGTCTATTCTGATATATCACATGCAGAAAACATAAGTAATGGTAAATATTTGTTTTTATTGCACAATTTAGCTCAGAGTTATGATCATTTACGGTTCATTACTTACTTCCACTTCCATGAGGAACGAGTAGTTCCCTCTCCGACCACTAGGTGGAATCACAGCCACTCTGAGTGTCCTTAGTGTGAGAGGAAGATGCAGCAACCAACATCTGTAGAAGCCAAACATTTATGTGCCTCCCTGGTGCATGAATTTTTATTTTTAATCTCGTAAAAAATTAGGCTCAGAACTTCTGAGTACCATCTACCTCCTAAAGTTCTGACCCGTTTCATTTGGACCAGTACCAGGGCGCTGAGGACAGAGCCCTGAGGTCCACACCCTGAAACGCCTCCTACCGTTCAGAGTTATGCTCCGGTTCCGGTTCCTCTGCCACGAGCCCTGTGAGTCCAGAGACCGTTTCAGCTGCTGGTTCTGGTCCAGACTCATCCACCTTCTCAACCTCTGGTTCAGGTTCTGGTTCTGGATCAGAAACCTTAACTGGTTCTGGGACAGAATTGAATTCTGGAGCTGCAGCTGGTTCTGGTACAACAGAGGAGTTGACTAGAGTAACTGGTTCTGGATCTGGTTCTGGAACAGATTCCACAGCTGTTAATGTTTCAGAGACAAGTTTCTGAGCTGCTGTCGGTTCTGGGGAAGGTTCCCCCACGTTCTGCTTAGCTGGTTCTGGTCCTTTAGCTGGGTCTGGATCTGTAGCTGGATCTGGTCCTTTAGCTGGTTCTGCTTCTTTAGCTGGTTCTGGTCCTTTAGCTGGTTCTGGTCCTTTAGCTGGTTCTGGTTCTTTAGCTGGTTCTGGTTCTTTAGCTGGTTCTGGTTCTGTAGCTGGTTCTGGTCCACTGACAAGCTGAAAAGGTTGTTGCTGCCACCAGGGAGAGAATAAAACATGCAGGATGCCGGGCCTCCAGGACCGACTCTGGACACCACCGTACCAAACCCCGGATTCTGAACTCAGGTTCTGACCGATAACGGACCTCCAGACGGAACCGCTCTACCGTTACAGGCAGAACTTAAAAATCAGGATGAAAAAAATTCAAAGCTGATTTATTTTGTTTTAAAACGTGACCCGTTCTGAGGTCAGAACCGGGTCCTCTGAGGTTCTGAGGACCCGGTTCTGACTTCCAGAACATCTCTGAGGATCATCTGCTGCTCCTCCAACTAAAACCGGACCTCCTGTTCAGAACCGAACCGCTGCAGCTGTCGGCGTCCTTCAGGAAGTGAAGTGTTTTGGGATCTGAGCCGCCGATCCGATCTGCTTCAAGTAGAACTTCAGTTGAACAGTAAATCTTCCCGGTCCAGCTGCTGAAACCAGCAGCTAGCTGAAACATTAGCTACTGAAAAAATTACTGCTGTAGAATTTATCTTGAAAAATTAGCTTAGAGGAAGCAAAGAGCGCTAACTGTTTTCAAAGATAGCAGAAATGGCAAAATGCTAAGCTATCAGTGGATTAGCAGAGGAGCGCCTTCCATAGAAATCAGGAAGTTTCTTCAGAAGTTTCTCTCTTTGGGTCTGAAGAGTTTGACTCTCCCAACAGAACCTCAGAACCTGCAGGAGGAAAAACTGGGTCAGAATGTCAAATATGACAGGATCCAATAGAGATCCTGATAACGGTGTCAGGAGGAGCTGCTGCTGACGTTTCCCCCAGAAGTCCAACATGTTAGTTGGAGCGGCTCCATGTTTCCTCCATCAAACCTGCAGCCTCACGTCTCCAAGGATGGAGAACCTGCTGGTTCCCAGTGAGGGTAAAAACAGGCATCTGGGCCGACCGGCTGCTTTATCGGCCTCATTTAGGCTGCAACCAGGTCGCAGCAACGCAGCATCTGGAGCCGGACAGAACCTGCTGCTGGCCTCAGTTCTCTGAGGACTTTGGACCTGACCTGGTTTTGGTTCTGGGAGCTGCATTCAAGCCAAAAAACAAAAGAGCTGAGAGAACAACCCGCCTGTGTTCCTGCTGCACAAACGACCTTTATGGAGCCACTGAGAGTGGATCTGCAGCTGCTGCAGGCTCCACAGCAGAGACATCGGCCGGGGGACCCGGGGTCTGACAGCCTGGGGGGCTGACAGTCGACAGCCTGGGGGCCCAGCGGTGGGAATCCACCAAACTCCAAAAATGGGAACAAAATGACTCAATCCAGGCTTTTATTTTGAAAGTGCCTGTACTCTGTGAGGCTCTTATTTTGAAGCTGATTCAGAGGTGAGATCATACCTGAGGAATCAGAACCGTTACTGTTCACCTCCAACTTTAGTTTAAATTAAAAAAGACCAACATTAATATCAGCCCGGACTTCTCTCTCCCAAAAACACGAACGAAATTAAAACCTGCGGAAATATTTATGAATTATAAGAAGCTGCAGATTAGAACTATTTAAAGTTTTAACGTTTTTATAGATTCCACAGTGTTTTAATCAGATCAATAAATACATCAAAGATCAATCACAGACTCTGACCTTCACTTTCAGCTCCGGGACGTCCCGCTTCTTCTCTGTTGGTTCTGGTTCTGGTCCCGGGGAGAGCAGCGGTTCTCCCGGCGGTCTGGACGGAGGAACATCGTCTCCGTATCCGACTTTGGGCTTGTTGGTCCCGGCCGAGGAGGAGGAGGGTCTGTCGGGTTTCCTGCGGAGCAGCGATGAAGCCAAATAAACCGCGATCACCGTGAAGAGGACGGCTGGGTCCAGGTCCATGGTGGTTCCGAAGAGCGGCGGGTGTCGACCAGGTGGGACCAGGCGGACTCTGAGCAGCCTGCCCCCCCGGAGGCTCGGTCTGACCACGACAGCTGATGGGAGCTTCTAAATAAGAGCCTGAAATAAATAACAAACTTCAAAATAAGAGCCTCAATTAAACAAAGCAAACAACTTCAAAATAAGAGCGTTACACAAATATGGACCAACTCTCCCTTCAGATGCTCTTTTCAAAATAAAAGACTGGAGTAAAGAGAAGAACTTTCAAATTAAAACTTTTCTTTCCTCCAAAAATAACATCAAAAGTTTAAAATAAGAGAAATACTTCAGCAAAGTGTTCAACGTGTTTCGTCTTCAAAAATAAAACAGTTTGAGAATGTGGTTCAGCTTTTATTTTGTAAGGCTGCAGGCCACAGCAGAACCTCCCATCTGGGTCAGAAACTCTGAGATGCAGATCATGTTTGGGTAACTTTATTTGAAGGGGTGTGAATAAGACTGACATGACGCTGTCATAAACATGATGAATCTTTATGAATGTTTATAACTGGTGTCAAAGTGTCATTCAGTAAATAATGACCCTTTTAATGCAAAGTTGCTCTAAAAGTCCATTAAAAGTGCCAACTTTGCATGAGTTTATAAATTATGATTTAATGCAAAGTTGGCATTTTTAATGGACTTTCAACTTTGCATTAAATTGTCATTATTTATAAACATTCATAAAGACTTCATCATGTTTATGACAGGTCATGTCAGTCTTATTCACACCCCTTCAAATAAAGTGTAACCCATGTTTGAAGTCTTTTTCTTTTCTGAAATATTTAGCAGCAACTCAGAAAGTCCTTAAAATATATTTATTTATCCAGGCAGAAATATAATATATCAGTTTTAGGAAACTTTTACTTTCTGGAGCGATTCTAAGGTTTGTTGTTGTTGATGTTTCTGTAATGAGCGGCGTTGTGTTTTACATTTGGATTCTTGATTTTTAAAGTTAAAACAATCAGCTGCTAACTCGTCTCTCCCTCTGCTGGACCGCAGGTTCCCAATGTGCGGGGCGGGGCCCCACAGGGGTCGCAAAATGACTTTCAGAATAACAATAATGGGACTCATCAGGTCTAAGGAGGAACAAAAAGATTCAGTAGATCATGAAATATTTTAGAAATAAATGTCTCATTAAATGATGCAACATAAATTGTACATGAAATAAATGCATTTAAAAATATAATTTACTGTTTTTTGAATAACAGAGAAATGTGTATTTTTAGGGAGTCAGCAGTCTGGTGTCAGCTTGAGGCTGAAAGATGAATCTGTGTCCTAGTCAAAGCTCATGGATGAGCCTTTGCTGTTAACCTTTAAAAACAGATCAGTTTGTTTTTGAATAATGAACTGAGCTGATTGATAACGGACCGGCACAACACTGCAGAACTCGGCCGGTCCAATCTCCAGGCTGGTTCCGTTCCTTTGTTTGGTCCAGAACCGGGCCGAGTCCAGCAGAACCTGCTTAACGAGCCTGAGAGATGCTGAATATTGTCATGGTTACGGGCAGGACAGTACAGATGCCGACAGCAGAACTTTTCCTCTGAAATTCTTTATTTTAAGGCCCAGAAAACAGATCCGACAGTCAGACAACGCTAAAAGTGTTTCATAAAAACCAGGAAACCACGTGACATCACTTCCTGTTTTTGGCACAACTGGAGCCCAGAAGCCGAGGCTCGGCTGCAGCGTTCAGGTGCAGAAGGCCTCAGTCTAGTCCAGAAAGGTCAGAGTTCACTAGAGCAGCATCCATCCTGGACCTTTAGTCTACAGAAGCACCTGAACGCCTCATCAAACGGGTTTAACAGTTAAAGGTGGCAGGTCACCCAGGGGTCACGACCCCAGGGGTCACCGGGACGAGCAGCGCTCCTTGCTGGCGCAGTCGTCCTGGCTGGTGGAGTCGCCGTTGGCCGCCACCCCACAGGTCCGCCTCTTCTTCCTGCGGTGGGACGCGGCGTCGCCCTCAGAGCCCGACTCCCCCTGCAGGACAGACGGAGAACAGGAAGTCACATGACAGGAAGTACGGCGGCTCGGATCGTCGGACGGCGTTCCGGCCTTACATCAGAGTCGGAGTCGGAGGAGCTGGACGAGGAAGAGGACGAAGAGTCGCTGGAGCTGTCCGACGCGATGCCGGTCGACTCCTGCAGGTCAACCTTATCGGCCAGCGCCGCCAGGTCCGGACGCTCCTGCTTCAGGATCCTGGAACACACACACACACACACACACACACACACACACACACACACACACAGGATTGAAGCAGCGCAACCCCAGAAAAAAAAAAAAAAAAAACAAAAAAAACGTAAAAAACAAAACCTTCGTCCTCAAAGAAAAATAAAACTGAACCTTTGGAAAGAAAACAGGAAAAATTAGAAATAAAACCTGAGTTAGCTCAGGTTTATAATAAAGTAATAATAATAAATACTGGATGCTTTTAGAGGATAAAAAACTAAGTAAACTTTACACAAATAAGGAAAGACAAAATATATAAAATACTGTAGATCAGAGTTTCTCCATCCTGGTCCTCAGGCCTCCTGTCCTCCATGTTTCAGGTGTTTCCCTTCTGCCACCTGGATTGTGTCTCTGGGTGATTAACAGGATCTGCAGCTCCTGATGGTCCTGCAATCATTTGGATCAGCTGTTCTGGAACAGAGGCTCATCTAGAACATGCAGAGCAGGGGGGCTGAGGACCAGGGTGGAGAAACACTGAGGTAGAAACTAAAATTAATTTAAAACAAAAAGGTAAATTATTGAATTAAACTGAATGACATTAAAAGGAATGAGAAGAATAAAAAAAATTAAAATCAGATTAAAAGGAAAAAAATTAAATATGCAATAAAAGGAGAATTAAAAAAATCTTAAAACTAAATAAAATTGTGAAACAATAAAACAAAACATTACTTTTAAAATATGAGTAATATAGTAAAACTTGAAAAATAAATTAAAAGCTAAATTTAATTTCAAATGTGATAAAAACTGAATAAAAATCAAAGTAAAATAAAACATGCTAAAATAAAAACCTAAAACAAAGTAAAACTTTTATAATGTAGTTTTAAAAGCCAAAATAAAACCAGTTTTTTATTTTGTTTATATTGCACTTTTATTAAAAACCTTTAAAACAATAAAGTCTGA